TACAGAATTTTCGGTAACCACCAGAGTCTCTCCCTGATGACAGCGACCAGCACCCCTCCTTGGTCTGGCGCCACCACTCACTGGATCCACCACCCCGCCACTGCCAATGGCTGCAATGTTCTGCACTCCGCTGCCTGCAGCCAATGCCCACCATGTTCCACGCTCGACCCCTGGTGATCAGTGCACGTCATAGCGACTGCTTATTGGGTTGTTCGGTTGTTCCGCCACTAGGTCTATTTGCACATTAGGATTTTATATATATAGATTACTACCTAACATTAGTAAACACCTCTATTAGGTCACATAATTATCTTTTTATGTGTGTGGTGAGAACATTTAAGATCTAGTCTCTAGAAACTTTCAAGTATATAAAGAGTATTGTTGGCTAAAATCACTACAGATCCCAAACTTAATCATCGTCGAGTTGCAAGTCTGTACCCTTGACCAACTTCTTCTTACCCACTAATCTTTCTTTCACCATTCCATGGTAATCACCATTATACTTCTGTTTCTAATGGGTTTGCCATTTTTAGATTCCACATATAAGTGATATCCTATATTATTTGTCTTTTTCAGTGTGCCTTATGTCACTTAACATAATACCTTTGTGGTCCATCTATGTTGTCCCAAATGGTAGTATTTCCTCCTTTCTTATGGCTGAATAATATTGTAGTGTGTGTGTGTGTGTGTGTGTGTGTTTCACATCTCTTAATTTGTTTCCATTTATTGGCTCTTGTGAATAATGGTGCAATAAATGTGGGATTATAGATATATTTTTGATATCCTATTTTTCTTACTTTTAGAAGTATACCCAGAAGTGGATTTGTGGGTCATATGGGAGCTCTATTTAACTTCTTAGAAAACCTCCATACTGTTTTTCATAGTGCTTGCACTGGTTTTACATTCCCACCAACAGTGCACAAGATTCTGTGTTATCTTGTAGATCAGCAAGTTTCCTTAGCACAGCTATTTTGACATTTTTATTGGGTGGATCATATATCTCCATGTCTGTATTTGTTTGCTGGAGGATTGTTGTAGAATTTGGTGACCTAATGTTTCCTTGATTTTTCATGTTCTTTGGAATTTTGCATTGCTGTTTTTGTATTTGAATTAGCAGTTACCCACTTATGTTTACTACTCTCAGGGTAGAAATACCTTTCGTCAGTCTTCTATAGATAAGGCTTTTTCAGTTCTTGTATGAATATGCCTGCTCTGTGCTTCATGCTCCCTCTTGTGGGAGGATTCTGTTTGTCCTTTTTTTCCTCCCTCCATATAAAGCACCAGGCCAGATGCTGATCACCTCCTTTTTCTTTTCCTGAAGGTGCTGCTACAGCTCAAGTTTGTGGTTCTCTCTTGTCTGCAAACCCTTGACTGTATTCTGCTCTTGCTCCCTAGCCTTTTATCAAAATTTGCTCTTGCTGCTGCCCTTGGCAGCTTCTACATGGAGCTGGCCACAGAGGGGAGGAGATATGGGTTGGAAAGCGGGTCACTGTTGTTGCCCACATGCCAGTATGGGGGATCTGTAAGAAAGGTTTTCTTCATGGTTTGTGGTCAGGCTTCCTGATGGAGTACAGAATGCAGTCAGGAGGAACCCTGTCTCTTTAACATGCTTTCTAGTAATCTTCTTTGTCAGATCTGCTCCCTCTCACCAGTCACTGAGCCCCTAATACAACACTCTGGATGCTGTGAGAGAGAAATGAGCTCTTTGGAAGCATCCTGCAAACCAGGGGAAGCTCGGCACCCACTCACCGGCTCTCTATCCCTGTGAAGGAAATCAGGAGCACAGGCGGGCCTTCTTTCAGCCTCACACTGAGCTCCCTTGGAAGAGGAATGATGCTGGCAAAATCAAGCTTTCCTCTCGCCCACACCAATGCATTCAAATTCATCTATTTGGTGCTCCAACAGAGTGCTGGAACTTCTCCTTTGGAAATCTGGACTTCCACAAACGTTCTCTACTCCATAGGTGACTGCCTAAGTCAGGGCTGTAGGTGCTCCTGGACTGCAGCTAAGAGGGGCTGGAACAATTCACAATATCTTGTAGGTGTCACAGCCAGTACTGGAGTCTCTCTGCCTATTACCTGATGCGTAGGTGGGCAAGACTCTTTCCAGGTCCTTTTGCATTGGCACTTTTGTTCGTGGATAGATAACAAATTTTGTTGTTGCAAGAAGAAAATAACAAGAGATATCTCATGCTCACTTACACCAGATTGCTATTGTCACTCCTGCGGTATTATGATCCACTCCCATGGGATGCTCTGCAGCATTATTTTAGCATTATGCCTTTTCTTTATATAATACTTTTCACACCATTTTTATTACTTGCTTATATGATCTCTTTCCAAGTAAAATATCTGGTGTGTGGGAGTAAAAACTGTGTCTACATTGCTGCTCTGTTTATCCCCCCTTGCACCATGCTAGTCACTTTAAAATTAGTTTTTGAATTAATGGCTGATACTTTTTTATGTGTTGAATAATGAAGGCCTTAATTTAACTGACCCTAGTTCCAAAGTCTCTGAAGTATAATTCTTTATTTTGTAATGATAGTGACATTCAAATTCTTGAAATAGTATAAAATGTATGAGTTTCTAATTGGCAGGTCACATTACCCAGTTTCCCATATCTCTCTCAGTGTGATCAGACCTTCTGAATGAAGAATACATAATCATTCCTATTGAAAATGCAAAGTAGAACAAACAGGAATAGTTTTACCTTAGGCAGAGGCTTAGCAGGTTTGCAGTGGAGGCCTCCAACAAATTGAAAATGTGGCAAGAGTGGGCGAGGAAACTCAAAATCCCAATAGGTTCGAATAAACCATATATCTGCTTTTCTCATTAACTCGAATAATGTAGTGGGTCTTCCTGAAAGGGAAAAAAAAAAATAAAGAAAATAAGAATATTGTAATGTGAATATACCATGTTGTTTTCTTAAAGGAAAAAAAAAAAAGAAAAGCTTGGAATAATGTAGCCAAAGATATTTAAAGTGTCTGTGATTTGATAGTGCAAACATCTATCTAATCTAATAAAAGAGAAACATGCAAATTGACCGCACCTCCGCTACGCCCCCAGCCAATCAGAGCGACTATATGCAAATTAACCCAACCAAGATGGCAGCCGGCACCCTCAGAGCTGGAGCAAGCAGGAGGCTTGGTTGCCCCGGCGATGGAGGAAGTCAAGCTTCCCACCTTCCCTGGATGGCTGTGGCCTTGGCTCAAGGCAACAAAGTTTCAATATTAGAAGACAAATAAATCCCAGATACCTGCTTCCAGCCAGCCTCCACTGGGAGCTTGGGTGGCTGGGGGCCGTGGCCAGCCTGCCAACAGCAATCAGCCCCTCATCCAGGATGGCCACACCCTCATGGGGTGAGGGTCCCCACTGGGGGGCTTTGCCAGCCTGCAAACAGCCATCAGCCCCTCACCCAGATTGGCCTGGCATCCCAGCAGGACCCCCCAACCTGAAGGAGGTGTGGACAGCCTGAAAATGGCCCTAAGCCCCTCACCCAGGCTGGCCAGGCACCCCAGTTGGGACCCCCACCCTGAAGGGGTTGTGGCCAGCCTGCAAACAACCATCAAACACTCACCCAGGCTGGCCAGGCACCCCAGCAGGACCCCCCTCCCTGAAGGAGGTGTGGCTATCCTGAAATCGGCCCTCAGCCTCTCACCCAGGTTGGCCAGGCACCCCAGTGGGACCCCCACCCTGATCTGGGACACCCTTCAAGGCAAACCAGCCGGCTCCCACCCATGCACCAGGCCTCTATCCTATATAATAAAAGGGTTATATGCAAATTGACCCTAACAGCAGAAAGACTGGGAATGACTGGTCACTATGACATACACTGACCACTAGGGGCAGACGCTCAATGCAGGAGCTGACCCTGGTGGTCAGTGCGCTCCCACAGGGGGAGCTCTGCTCAGCCACAAGCCAGGTTGACAGCTGCCTGTACAGTTGTGGTGGTGGGAGCCTTTCGCGCCTCCTCAGCAGTGCTAAGGATGTCCGACTGTAGTTTAGGCCTGCTCCCTGCTGGCAAGTGGGCATCCCCCAAGGGCTTCCAGGCTGCCAGAGTGATGTCTGACTGCCAGCTTAAGCCCGCTCCCCCAGGGAGTGGGCTTAATACAGCAGGTGGTCATCCCTCGAGGGGTCCCAGACTGCGAGAGGGCACAGGCTGGGCTGAGGGACCCCTCCCAGTGCAGAAATTTTTGTGCACTGGGCCTCTAGTCCTATCTAATAAACGAGAAACATGCAAATTGACCATAACCCCGACACCCTTCCCATTGGCTAATCAGCATATCCTTATGCAAATTAACTGCCAACCAAGATGGCAGCCGGCAGCCAGGCACTGAAGCAAACAGGAGGCTTGCTTGCTCCAGTGATGGAGGAAGCTAAGGTTCCCCGCCTGCCGCTGCCGGCCTCTGAGCTTGCACTCTAAGAAACAATGTTGCAAGTATAGAAGCTAAACAAACTCCAGAAACCTGCTTTCAGCCAGCAGGGCTTCAGCCAGCAGGACCGCAACAGTGTTTCAATTGTAGAACCCAAACAAACCCAGTACCTGCTTTCAGCAGCCGTGGTCTCAGAGCTGCAGCCGAGGTCTCAGAGCTGGAGCTGAGCCTCAGAGCTAAAGCCAGCTCTCAGCTCCAGTGACAGCCATAGAAGGTAAATAAATCCCAGAATAAAAGAAAAAAAGGAGAGGTTGGGAGCTTCAGTCGCCCACCAGCCTGAAAACGGCCCTCAGCGCCTCACCCAGACTGGCCAGGCACCCCCAGTGGGTACCCCCTCTGTGAAGGGGGTGTGACCAGCTGCAAACAGCCATCATCCCCTCATCCAGATTGGCCAGGCACCCCAGTGGGGACACCCACCCTGAAGCAACAAGATGGCGGCTAATTTGCATACTGAAGTAGGGCGGCAGTGGGCAAGATCTGTGACCCTGCCGGGGGGGGGCAGTGCTTGAGGCTGTCCGCGGTCCCGGGACCCGGATCTGTGACCCTGCCGGGCGGAGGGCAGTGCTTGAGGCTGTCCATGGGACCAAGACACAGATCTGTGACCCTGCCGGGCGGGGGGCAGCGCTTGAGGCTGTCCGTGGTCCCAGGACCTGGATCCGTGACTCTTCCCGGTGGGGCGGCAGCTTGCACAGGGGCGGATCGGCCGGGGTTGGGCAGGGCAGGATGCCTGGCTTCCCGCCCAGCCCCAGTCACTCTGGGCAGGTGAGCAGCGCAGAGAGCCTCTGGACAGGGGAGGCAGGCCGGCGGAGGGCGGCCTGTACTCCCCACATGGCGGTGGTGACAGCTGTGAGCTTGCCAAGCGGAGCCTGCAGGCTGAGCTGAAGTAGCGCCTGCAGGCCATCAGTGCCCAGGAGTGGCTGCGCAAGATCTGCCTCCTGGCCCAGAAGGTGCAGGATCGCAGGGACAGCCATCGTGGTGGGCCAGACTGTCGTCCTCCTGGCCGCCCCACGGGGGTTTGCAGATCTGCAAAGCCAGAGGCCTCCGGTGTGCCCATACCCCCCTGGCGTGCGAACATCCCCCAGCACACTGTCACCCTCCCACGCCTGCAACAGTGGCAAACCAAGGCGTGCACAAGTTCCCCCTGCCTCTCCACCGCACTTCCATCAACCCGGCATGCCTAACATCCCCACAGGATGTGCACACATCCCCTCTGATGCGCTCACGTCTTTTGGAGAGTGTCTGGGTGTTCTGGGTGCTGAGGGTGGGCGCCTGTGAGATGACAGTGAGAGGACGTGGTGATGCCCTGTTCCCACGGAGGCCAGTGCAGCTATGAGATCACTTCTGGGGGGTTAATGCAGGTGCTGAGGCAGGAGCAGGTGCAGATAGACACACCTGGTGGGCACGGGCAGCCCTCGCTGAGGTGCCTTCGGTCAGCGTTCAAGATCAAGAACCCAGAGGCGGAGAGGAATTCCGTCCTCTCAGTGAAACAGTGGGATAGTCGGGGCGACTATAGAGGAGGAATGTGCACTTTGGGAGCCAGCACCCATGAGCAAAGGCTGCCCTGACTGAGCCTCGCTTGCTTGGGGCCTAGCGCACTCCTGCCGGGCAGCGGGTGACAGGACGTGCTTTTCCAAATTAATGAGAGAAAACATTGATTCTCCTGCTGCCCACAAAGGTAGAAAGTGAAGTGGGGAGACATGTGGGGAGTGAGCGAGGTTCCCTGTCTGGGGGTTCCAAATCTGCTTTGGTTTCTTTCACCGCTGACTAGAGATATACAGGGTGTCCCCCCTAAATGTATACACACTTTGAATACCTACTAATTCCAATGGTTTTAAGCATAAGAAAGAAACAACAATGGAGCTGTTCTCTGTTAAAAGTGTGGGCACAAACAGGTAGTTGGACATTTCCTGAGGGGTCTCAGATTGGAGAGGATGAAGGCCAGACAGAGGGGCCCCTTGCCCCGCTACCCCAGTGCACGAATTTCGTGCACAGGGCTACTAGTATATATATAAAAGTGTAAGTGACCATTAGGACCTATTGGTCGACCGAAAAAATGGTTGATCAGTCGCTATGATGCACACTGACCACCAGGGGGCAGACGCTCACCAAAGGAGCTGCTGCCTAATGGTCAGTGCACTCCCACAGTCAACCTCCCATTATCAGCCAACCTACTATGGTCCATCCCCTCAGCTGGCCGGGTTGTCAGTCCGCTTCCACAGCAACCTCCCATGGTCCCTCCCCCCCCGCCAGCTAGCCCAGATCAGGTCCAATCTCTGGCCAGACTGAGGGACCCCACCCATGCACGAATTCGTGCACCAGGCCTCTAGGATTTATATAATATACATTTTTTATATTATGATGTTTATATATATTAACAATACATATAAAATTTAACAGTTTTTCTTTTCTAACATCACATCAGGACATTCACAATCATAGAAAATGGTTAAACCTAAGCCACTACAGAATTAAACATGCATTTGCTACTCTGTAAAGCTGCAGATGTAATAGATGCAAATGTAAACAATGATTTTAATTCCTCAATCAATTAAATATACCATATCCATGGAAACACTTTCCCCTAGATTATTAGTCTAGTTTCTGCAATTTAGGAAGCTATTCACTTTATCCTAGATTTCCCCAAAATGGAGGTTTTGAGAGTATGGCTCATTTCCTGGTACTATAATTACATTTGGTTCAATTTAGGAGCCTAATAATACTTGTGCATTAATAAAAACATTTACAAATAATAGCTGAAATATTGTCATAACATTGGGTAATAGATATGCTCACTCTTAATTTTGCCTCATTTGTCGTTAATGAAGAAAGAGTTTTCACAAAATATAGTTTACTGACTTCCATGTCCGCCCATCAACAAAAGTTTAGTGTTTAAGCAGATAAGTTGTAAGTGCTTAATGAAGGAATGTGAAGTCATTAGAAACCTCAAATTATAGGTTCCTGAGTCTGGGACAGAGCACTCCAGTATGAAAGAATCCTTCAGGTAATATGGCAAAATAGTTCAGTTTTTAAATCAAACTAAACTACACAAGAGGAAGCAGTTCCTGAAGGACCTTATAAGTTAAGCATTTCCATAATGTTTGTGAGAATGAAAGATCATTTTATAATGTTATTTTATCATTTTACTTATAAAAGACAAATTTGTCTCAATATTTATAAAAATTCACATTTTAGAGCACTAACAAAGTTAGGATTTCATGCTACCAAGTAAGGACATGACTTACCTAGTGCTTCGCTGTAAAGCTGATCCCACTTCTCACTAAATGCTTGGAACCAGAAGTCAAAATAAAGCACATACATCATATTTTTTACTCGCTCCATGAATGTCATTTGATCACTTAATTCTGATAAGACAATAGGTACGTAGGATGGAGGGAATGGAAGTCCTCCACTGTACTTTTCAATTGTATAGCCAAAAGAGAAGCGGAGACTGTACACAAAAGGTATTTTAAGTAGCTCAGCCAGCAGCTCACCACAGGGTCCAGAGGGATCTGTAAGAACGACATCAAACCTTGATTCCTGTAGTTTTCTCATAAGGTTCTTGTTCAAAACAGCATCTTTACAGAGCTTTTGAATACAATCAAAATATTCCAAAATGTTATCTTGAATTAGTGAAAAATAAGTCCAAAATGTATATTTTGGCATATATGTCCACTTAGAGGTCAGCCGCATGAGAATATCCTCAAAATCATCTTTTGTTAAAGATGTAGGAAAAACCTCAAATTGAATAGCAGATGGTTTATTGGGATCAACAAGAATTGAAGCTGAAGATGTCAGAACAGTCACTTCATGACCTCTCTGGACAAGTGCATCCAGGATGGTCTTCATGTTGATCCAGTGGCTGTATTCTGTGGGCCACACCAGCACCTTTCCACAACTCCCAGGGCTGAAGTGACCACTCAGCTGTAGCAGCAGCAGAACTGAAATCCACTTCATAGGCATCCTGGTGGCACACAGGCTTCTTTTCAAATGGCCGATCCCTTTTATCATGGCTCATGCTTACGTGCGAAGGGAAATCAACCAGGAAGTTAAAATATAACTTCTGGGCGTGGCCCCAGCGCTGAGCGCGCGGACCCTGTCAGCCTCCTTCTGCAGGTTGCTGCTCGCCACCAGCCCCTCCCGGCCGCGTTTCCCTGCTGCGGGGCGGCCTGAGTGGGCGCTGAGGGCGCCGGCGCCAGCGGTCCTGGGGCTTGCCACTCCTTCCCGATCCTCCGGGTCCCAGCCCACTGGTCGGTCCTGGTGCAGCCAAGGCCAAAGCAAGGCGAACCCCTCCGCAGTGTACCCGGAGCGGCGGCCTTGCCGGGGTAGCGGGGGTGTCGTCCAGGAAACCGGAAGCCCATGGCGACCCCTGGCGACCCGTTTCCGAACGCTGGGAATCGAAACTCCGCAGCACTAAGTAGCCTGACTTAGGGCTGTCAGGGATCCACTGGTAGGAGATGATATCTGCATTCTAAATCATGAAAAAGCCCACGGGAGAGATACAGTGACTCCGGTCTCAATATATTCAGATGAGTCTGTTGCTTCACATTTTGCCCTTGTCACTGCATATGAAGACATCAAAAAACGACTCAAGGATTCAGAAAAAGAGAACTCTTTCCTAAAGAAAAGAATAAGATTTTTGGAAGAAAAGCTTACAGGCGCTTTATTAGGTGAAGAAACAAGTTCTGTGGGACGAGAACAAGTAAATAAGGTCTATCATGCATATCGAGGGGTTTGCATTGATAGAGATAATTTAAAGAGCAAATTGGATAAAATGAATAAAGACAACTCTGAATCTTTGAAAGTATTGAATGAACAGCTGCAGTCTAAAGAAGTAGAACTCCTCCAGCTAAGAACAGAGGTGAAAACTCAGCAGGTGATAAGGAATTTAAATCCACCTTCATCAAACTGGGAGGTGGAAAAGTTGAGTTGTGACCTGAAGATCCATGGCTTGGAACAAGAACTAGAACTGATGAAAAAAGAATGTAACAATCTCAGAATAGAGCTACAGAAAGCCAAACAAAATTCAGATTCTGTGTGCATTGTATGAATGACTTAACTAGGGATAGAATCACAGAGTTAAATTCTAACTACTTAAAGTTACATTCTCTGAAAAATTCACCTTTATCCTCCCGTTTGTGCTAAAATCTAATATACTTTATACTTTTAGCATATACCCAGAATTATATAATTTTGTTGTATAAAAACTAACTTTTATAAAGCTTATTATTTATTAACTAGAGGGCCAGTGCACAAAATTTGTGCACTTGGGGGTGGGGGGTCCCTCACTCAGCCCAGCCTGTGCCCTCTCGCAGTCCGGGAGCCCATAGGGATGTCCAACTGACAGCTTAAGCCCGCTCCCTGCTTCTGGCTGAGCAGTGCTCCCCTTGTGGGAGCGCACTGATCACCCGGGGCAGCCCCTGTGTTGAGCATCTGCCCCTGGGTGGTCAGTGCACATCATAGCAACCGGTTGTTCTGCAATTTGGTTGATTTGCATATTAGCCTTTTATTATATAGGATGTATTAAAGCTATTCTTTCAAAAAAAAAATAAAAATAAATAAATAAAATATAACTTCTACACCCAAAGTAAATACATTTGATGACTAGTGAAAGCATTTTATGGCAAGTCAAAAAATGATAAAGTAATTGCCGTTTTTTTAATACAAATCTGTGTAATATCTAAAAGTGCTATCATTCAGCTGAGTCAACTTTGCAGTTTTCCTGTGATTTGTAATTTATTATAGATGAATGATAATTATAGGAAGTTAGAGGTAATTGTGTCTGTAATGACTTTTTGTGAAGAATGGAAGATAAAGCTATTATACAGCTGACAAAGAATTACCTGGATGACAGTTCCTGAGATTTTATTTTAATTTTTATTTATTTTTTAAATTTGTCTTTATTGCTGAAAGTATTACAGGTGTCTGCTTTGTGTATTTTTTTCCCCATTGACCACCTCCTCCCCATACTCGCCCCTCCCAAGTCTTTACCACGCTAGTGTCTGTGTACATGGTCTCTGCGTATATGCATTTAAATTCCCGATTAACCTCTACCCACCCCCCCACCCCCCCACACACACAAACTATCCACCCCCACCGTTCCTCTGAAATTCATCAGTCTGTGCATGGTTTTGTCTCTGAATCTATTTTGTTCTTCAGTTTATTTTGTTCATTAGATTCTACATATGAGTAGGTCATGTGATACATCTTTTTCTGACTGGCTTATTTTGCTTAGCACAATACTCTCCAGGTCCATCCATACTGTTGCAAATGGAAAGAGTTCCTTCATTTTTACAGCTGTGTAGTATTCCATTGTTTAAATGTACCACAGTTTTTGTAATCCACTCATCAGCTAATGGACACTTTGGCTGTTTCCAAATCTTAACTATTGTAAATTGTGCTGCTATGAATATAGGGGTGCATATATATATATCCTTTCTGATTGGTGTTTATGGTTTCTTAGGATATATTCCTAGAAGTGGGATCACTGGGTCAAATGGGAGTTCCATTTTTAATTTTTTGAGGAATCTCCATAATGTTTTACACAGTGGCTGCACCCACCAGTCTGCATTCCCACCAGCAGTGTACTAGGGTTCCCTTTTCTCCACATTCTCACCAACAGGTCACTTGTTGATTTGTTGATGATAGCCATTCTGAGAGGTGTGAGGTGATACCTAATTGTTGTTTTAATTTGCATCTCTCAGGTGATTAGTGACTTTGAGCATTTTTTCATATATCTCTTGGCCTTCTGTATGTCCACTATGGAGACAGGTCTATTTAGGTCCTTTGCCCATTTTTTAACATGCTAATATATATATTTTTAAATAATTTGTTATTGTTGAAAGTATTACATATGTCCCCTTCCCTACATCCCTTAACACCCACTACCCCGCCCCCCACTTTTGCCCCAGGCTCTCACCACCCCATTGTCTAGGTCCATGGGCCATTCATATATGCATATAAGGTCCTTGGTTAATTGCCTTCCACCCACCCACACTCTCCCACCTTCCTTCAGAGATTCCACTCTCTGTTCCATGTTTCCATGTCTCTGGATCCACTCCATTGATTAGTTTATTTTGTTACTTAGATTCCACATATGAGTGAGATCGTGTGGTACTTGTCCTTCTCTGACTTACTTATTTCACTTTGCATGATACTCTCCAGGTCCCTCCATGCTGTCTCAAAGGGTAAAAGATTCTTTTTTTTACTGCTGCATAGTATTCAATTGTGTAAATGTATCACATCCACTCATCTGCTGATGTGCACTTGGTTTGTTTCCTGATCTTAGGTATTGTAAATTGTGCTGCTATGAACATAAGGGTGCATACATTCTTTCTGATTGGTGTTTCGGGTTTGTTAGGATATATTCCTCGAAATGGAATTGCTGGGTCAAATGGCAGTTCCGTATATTTTTGAGGAAAATCCATACTGTTTTCCATAATGCCTGCACCAGCCTACATTCCTCCAGCGGTGTACTAGGGTCCACTTTTCTCCGCATCCTCACTAGAACTTGTTGTTTGTTGCCCTGTGGCTGCTGGGAGCAGGTAGCTCCTCTCTGGAAAAATGGCAGTTTCGGTTTGGATGCATCCGCACGACCAAATACAGGATTCCTGACTACTGCTTTCCCATGTCTCCCTGCACTGCTTCCCAAGCCAGCCTCTCTGTAGGCACCTCAGTCTGTGCCTCCCTCCCTGCACCAAAGCCTCAGGTGAGTAGTTGCAAATGAAAACTCATGTGCTCTGGGTTTAGCAAAAAACAAATTGCGGCTTTCTCTCCAGCCGGCTCCAGTCTGCCAGACTCCACAGTGGCCAGTAGGTCTGCCACCTTTCACAGATGTATGTTACGTGGGCCGCAGGTCTCGGCTCCGGTGTCCAGCCTGGGTTCTGGGCCTCTGTCTTCAGAGGGAACAGACCCTCCTGTGGCCCAGCACTCCCTCCTCTCTGGGCCTGCTGCCCCTGGGAGCTGGGTCAGCTCCTCTCCTGACCTGGCCCTTCCTACCAGTTTCCAGGTGCTTTCTGTTCTTCTTTGATGTAAGTCTCTTCCTTAGCTGGACCTCAGTTGGTAATTCCAGGTGAATGTTCTCCAATTTAGTTGTATTTCCAGTCTGGCCCTGGGATAAGGTGCAGGACAAGTTGCCTATTTGGCTGCTATTTGGCTCCCACATTCCCCTCTGAGATTTTAATTTTTAAATAAAACTTTGTGAACATGTAATTTACCCATCATTCAAGTGATTAATTTAAAATGTACATTTCAATAGTTCATACTGTATTCACAGAATTGTGCTACCACCATGGTGATCATATGAAGAGCATTTTCTGCCCCAGTGAAACCTTTATCCTTTACAAGGAACTCCTTAATGTCTTCCTCCCTAAACCCTATCTGACCATTAATCTGGTTTGTGTCTCTATAGAAGTAGAGGATTTCTTGTAAACAGAACAATGTAATATGTGTCCTTTTGTGATTGGCTTCTTTTACTTAGCATAATAATTTAAAGATTCATTCATATTACAGCATGCATCCTTTTTACTGCCAGATAATATTTCATAATACAGACATACCACATTCTTTTTATTCATGCATTAGTTGATAGACATCCCCGCCCCCAATTTTGGCCACTATGAATAATGTTTTTTTAATATTCATGTGCCAGTTATGAGTGAACAAGTTTTCCTTGGGCATAAATGTGTCTGTAAATAGTGATGCTGTGCCTTGTTTGGCAGGAAGTGGGTATATATATGTACACACGCTATAAGAAAATTCAATAGTCCGTTTAGAGTATGGGTTCTACATTATCCAACCTACAATTGAGACCATATACCCATTATCAAAGGCTGCAAGAAGAGTGAAAGCAGCCAGGTGAATCTTTTTAAGGGGCTGTGAGGTAAAGAGAATTAGTTACTAAAACCAAAGTCTATCATAAACAGCTCAATTTTATATTAGGAAGCAACTAGCTGTTATATTTCTAAATTAACATACAGTTTATTTATTTTTTGTTGTTAATCCTCACCCAAGGATATTTTTTCCATTGATATTTTTGGAGAGAGTGGGAGGGAGAGAGAGAGAGAGAGGGAAACAGAGACACATAGACTGGTTGCCTCTAGCACAAGCCCCAACTGGGGTGGGGAAAGAACCTACAACCAAGGTACGTGCCCTTGACTTGAATCGAACCCACAACCCTTCAGTCTGCCGGGCGACGCTGTAACCACTGAGCCCCGACTATGGCTCCACATACACTTTAATCAGAAATGACTGAACCTGGATGAGGGCAAATGACTTGCCATATTTTTAGGTAGGAAATGATGCTGAGGCTGGATAAACAGTAAAACCAAGGAGCAGGAGGGGGCAGGAGCGGGGAGAAGAAGGTCAATGAGGGTTAAAAGGGGGGACATCTGTAATACTTTCAACAACAAAGATAAAATATATATAAAACAGC